AGCTTATTACTCATTAATGAATGTATTTATGAATATTTAAAAATGATTACGTAATTGTAATACAGTGTTACTGTGCTGTTTATGCATATGCCACAAATCCTTCATGTGTATGTAGTTAGTGTAAAGCATTACCGAGATAGGTTTAAAAAACTAAACTGATAAGGAGGTAAGTATTCAGACACCTCAAATTAATAATACTATTACTTTGTAGCAAAGCTGTTGTTGCTAACTACACCTTTAAGACATGTACAGTAAGAAGAACTTTAAATTACCCAATGTTATGTCCCTCTGATAGACTCGCAATTTTAAAATCCTCCTGACATTTTCAGTAGGATTGAGGTCAGGAGGTTGGCTCGGGCTTGCACCTTCACTTTCTTTTTTAGAAACTAGTCTTGAGTTATTTTGGCTGTATGTTTTGGGTCATTGTCTTTTTGAAACATCTATCTTCTTCCCAAATTATTGAGATTAAATTTTCCTCTACTATGCACATCACTTCATTCCTGTTTGTGTCAATGTTTTGTAATGCCTCAGTACCATTTGCAGAGAAGCAGCCCCATATTATGATGCTCCCACCTTCGTACTTCACTGTAGGTTTGGTGTTCTTGGGATCATACATGCCATTTTTTCCAAACATCATGAGCTGAATGATCACCAAAGAATTCTGTTTTTGTTTTGTCTGACCAGAGTACATTGTTCCAAAAGAATTCTGAATTGTCTGAATGCTTCTTTTTTAGCAGAGGAGCACCACAGAGATGACTGTGGTGCAGTTCTCTGTTGCTTTATGTGCTGTTGTCTGTGTGTAACTGTTGCTCCTGCTGCTTTTAGTTTATCCTGCCACTCTTTTTGAGTGACTGCTGGCTTCTCTCTTACCTTCCTTATTATTAGTCTGACAGCTTGCTGTAAAACCCTTTTCCTCCACCCACAGGGTTGATATTGTATATGACATATAACTCCAGTGCTTTGAACTGTAAAACTCCACATACACCAAACACACAATGTCTCTGGCCTGTTTATTTACTTTTTGTTTGTTTGCATGTTCCCTTGTTTTTTTTTCTCTCAGCCACAGGATTGAAGCTCTGGCCATACCGCATAGGGCAAATAACTAAATAAATAAATAAATAAAAAAGGCTCCAGTGTCCTGAACTGTAGAACAGATGTAGACCAAACAAACAAACAAATAAAAACAACAAACAAACAAATATGTAATGCATCTAGCTTGTTTGGTTTCTCTTTTATTTTTGTTTTTTTCCTCCCTAGCCATAGGGTTGACACTTTAGCTGCATAATGTATGGAAACTGACTCATAATTTGAAAAGGCTCCAAACACCCATAAATGAGGAATTATTGTAACGCCTACGCACAGCTGCTTTTGTTTGTAGAACTTGTAGAACCTGAATGGAGCAATTTAGATTGGAATCCAGTGAAAAGGCACAACTTGCGGCGAGATTGAAGCCGCTCAGGCTTTAGCACCCAAACGTACAATCTATCCTTCCGCTTCGACGTAAATGGCAGACTCTAGAGATACATCAGCTGATGGCACAGAGGAATGTCTGGCTTTCTGTCACTCACTGTGTATCTCAGTGCAGCTCTCCCATTAAACTGACAGATCAATTTCATTGCTTCACAGCTTGAAGTCTGAGCGACTCAGTCTCCGGATGCCTCTGTGGACGCCAGATGGGGGTCGTCAGCGCTGTGAACACACTCTTTTGGCTGTGCAGTATGCCTCTTTAACCAGCTTTGGCCCAAAGCTTGATTGATGACTCTCAACAGTGACTTAAACTTAACAGACAGGAGCTAATGACATTGTGACAATGTGAAACTTTGTTTTTTCAGCCAAACTGTGAAAATGTATTGAATAAATGTGCGGTTCTTAATCTAGAAACAGGCTTGTGCTCCTCTCCAATCCATTTTAGCCAATAATTTGTTAATATTAAATGGAAATTGGCCTGGGCTTATGGAATTGTATTTGAATGGTTCTCCGTAACACCATTTACTAGGCTAATGCCTGTTCCTAGCATAGGACCAATCTGTTTTGTTCAATAATTACACAGCGTTTTTGTCATTCTATTCTTGCAGCTCAGCCATTTGCTGCTCCACTTAGCTTGACAGTAACAGATGTGAAAATTGCATCTCCTATCAGAGTAAACAACAGCTGATAACAGTAGAGAAGCACTGTTAGATATGGAAGAGGGATATTTGTTTCAAATTAGTTTATCCACAAGCCTCTCCATGCCTGCAAGCAGCCACCAGGCCCAGCTGTGAACTGTGAGCTCCCCATAACATGTGCTTAGAAAGCGCACACAAATGCAGTATTTTTAACATGTACAGTTCGGTGCTTTTAAGCGAGGCGTGGTAAGTGCATCTGCAGGACTGTCATATACTTCACTGTAAGTATCCATGTCATTACTGTGAAACATAATGCAATCCATGTGAAGAGTGGACGACTCTTCAAGCCCCTGTAATTGTATGCATTTATGCAAACGTATGCACGGTGAAAGCTTTTGCACACGGATGGAAATATTTATTTTGAACTCGGCTGCCGTTATCATTAGGCGCCCTTCAGGTGCTCAGAAAACCTGATTTGAAATCTTGAAATAACAAGCTTTCGCAAGATCAACCAACAGCTGTAACCTTCCACACCTTCATCAAGAAGCTCCTTTGAGGCTAGTGCAAAGGGTAGCAAGATGTAAGGCGATGTTTTTCAATGTTATTTACTGCACAGCTAGACATTAAATAAAATGAAGCTTGCGGAATGGTTGAGCATTAAACAGCAGGGCAACTGGAGTAATGACATGTTGAAATAACAGATTCAGTGTCACGCATATCATTGGATAGTGTAAGCATGGCTTTTTTGAACAGCTTAATCAAATTATTAATAAGCAAATAAAGTCATGAGTGCTTTCATGCGAAATGCTCCAATCTGGAGATACTTACCGAGTTATCATTTACAATGGTGGTGATTAGGAAACCAGACATATGAGAGGTTTAACGCCTCTAAAAGCTACACCACAAAGTGTTATTATATTAAATAGTTATGAATTTGTTGCCTGGCATCTGAGACATTATTTTAGAAAGCTTTTGAGATAATGTTTTGGCCTAATGCAAACAGCACAGGCCCAAAGTCATAGACTGCCTTACATTTATTAATTTCCAGTCACAATTGTCATTAAGTAAAAGTGCAAGGAAGGGAAAAGTCAAAGAAAAATAATTAGAAAAATAAATTAGGAGCTTCCAAAAAAAGAGTTCAAAAATTATTAAAAGATACAGAGAAACTGGAACTCTTAACAACCATGCAAGACCTGGCAGCCCACCAAAACTGTCCCCATCAGATAAACAGTACATATAGCTTTCATCTTTAAAAGAAGCTCAACTTTTGCTTTAGATGTGAAAAATCCAAGGTTTCTGTCCATCAGTCAACTGTAAAAAGACTCAACACTATGAGTCTGAAAGGATGTATAGCTGGGAAGAAGCCGTTATTGACAAAAGGCAATCTGAAAACTAAGAAGCTGCTGGTGTTCTCAGAACAATGGACTGACCACCCCAGAGTTCGGACCTCAACATCACTGAATGCATTTAGAATGACTTGGATTGCAAAAAGCAGAAAATGCAACCAATGTCTAAGACTGAACTTTGGAGGTATGGAAAAATATCAGGCAGATTTCTTTGAAAAACTGAAAGCAAGTGGACACACTAAATGCTGAAAAAAGCTATTAATTTTAGTTATTTAAGTTTGTTTTGAAATTTTCTACTAAATCAAAGTTTTCTACTTGTTTCTGACACTGAAAACGGGTTTGTACTTATTGGACTTATGACAGTAAAAAAAATAAATGAAAAGTGGCGTCTAACTTTTGCACAGCAGTGTATATTTTTAAAACACATGCAGGACATTGTAAGAAAAATACTTATTTGTTTTCAGATTTACCACTATTTTACCACTTTCTACTTTATATATATATGTAACCCTCGGAAGACACGTCTTATCACCAGCATTGTAAAGAAATATGTGTGATTTCACATCAGCCCACTCTGAATGATTTTATCTACATCCCAGTGTTTGGATGATACAGAAATATTGAAAAATCTGTGGAATTCCTTTTTAAGTAATACACCTTTTGATTAAATATACACTTTTTCCTTGGACTTATTCAGCTCAAGCGTGACCAGAAAACACACCAATCTGGTAAACTCATGGAAAATGACCATAGAGATAACTTGACTATATCTGCATTATTCTTTGTGCCACACGTCCATCTGTAGTTGTCACATTCGATGCCCTGAGAGCTGTTTTTCTATTTGGTGAGTAATGCAAGAAGATATTGGCCCTGACAGTATTTGCAGCTACGTATTGAAGCACATCCTCTATCTTCTGTAGCTGTGGAGATGACTGCTTTGCATAGCATATTGTGGTGAGAAAGACTACGTCATCGTAGTGTGAAATAATGTTGCCATTTTGGATGTGCTGCTTAAATGCTGATGTGATAGGCAGGTGTAACCTTTTCCTCAGGCTGTTCTTAAGGGCAGGAGGTGGCAAAAATGCCAGCCACCTTCCTTCACACCAAACAGAACATTTTGCGAGTCTCTATAAGCCTCGCGAGTGTTGTAAGATGCTATATAAAGCAATTTTTACAAGAAATTCTTCTGCTTGCTGCTGAGATTGGCCAGCGGTGAGCACAAAATGAAGGAATAAAAAAATAAAAAATGCTGCAACAAAATGATCCTGTTGGAGAAAGCTGCCTGCACCACCGTGATAGCCACTGTTGACCTGCGTGTCAGCAACTTGACACACATACATTATCTCCGAATGGACTCCCTTACCTCCCGTGGTCTTCAGGAGATCACACCCGGCTCAGTAAGAGTGCGAGCTCAGTGGGAAATGTAGTTTGTGTCATGATGAGGTGTGTTGTAATCCGTCAGGGGTACCGACTGGGGCTCAGCGGGGTTTGTGGGAATTGTGTACTTAAGACCCTGAGTGAGGTTGTGCGTCTGTTCCCCCCCACACAGATCCCCCAGGTGAGCTATGCTTCGACAGCGCCGGAGTTGAGCGACAACACGCGCTACGACTTCTTCTCTCGAGTGGTTCCTCCGGACACCTACCAGGCCCAGGCCATGGTTGACATAGTGCGGCACATGGGCTGGAACTACGTCTCCACGGTAGCTTCCGAGGGGAATTATGGAGAAAGCGGAGTGGATGCCTTCATCCAGAAGTCCCGCGAGGATGGTAAGAATCAGTCTAATTGAACTAATTGAACTAATGTGTTTGCACAGTCCATTCCAAATGCCCCCAGCCCTGCTGTTAGAGATAACCTCTGCTATCTCCTAATTACACGCTCCCTCAGTTAGATCTTTCTTTGATGAAGACAATCCATGACTGAAAACATCAAGCATGATGTTTGAACTGTGAAGGTTTTTTTTTCCCTCTTATTTACTGCCCATATCAAAACAACTCCTCAGGAAATGGAGCTCGAAATGTTCTTCAGGGAGAAATGTTCCTGAAAGACTGTGGCTGTGTGAGGAATTCTGAGTGCTGTGATTGATTTGCTGCTGTTGTACCCTTGCTAGCCTCCAAGGCCATATGTCTCTCTCAGCACTAGCTTCGAATTGAGTTTGATTGACAGGCTGGAAGACGTGTGCCACCATTGGTCAAAGGAGGTGTAGGTTTGGCTGTATCTCTCGCCAAAGACCTATGTGACTAGAATAGCAGGGCCCAGGTCTTCTTAAGCGCACTGTAGACATGTTTCCTCCAACTGTAATGGGGCAGAGTGCATAAGCTTTTGCAGCGGTGGGCTCCCTGCTAATGATAAGAGCAAAGCTACAGTCTGGCCTAGGGGCAATTCTGATGGTTCAAGTAACTCGGGATCTGAAATTCCACCAACAAATGCAGGACTACAGCATGGACTTCATACGATAATAGGATTATGTAAACCATTAGAACAAGTTTACATTCACCTCGAGCGATGTAGCATAGTGGAGAGATACAAGCAAAACAGCATGGGCTCCGTTCAGGTTTTATTTATTTATTATTTCATTTTTTTAAGCTTACTTTAAAAGGGTTTTTCACAAACCACTGAGTATATTTAGGCAGGATCTACAGTTTCTGGCAGCTGCTGATGGAAATGGATGACCCACTTCCGTGGAGGTTTCAGGGCCACGGTGCGCTATAGCCCCCCTGTATGTACCCTCTCATCTCTCTTGGATGTGGGGATGGTGGAACAGCTGTTTGCCCTCCACACGCACTGACCTAGGATCTGACCCCTCTGCAGGGTGGTGCCTAATGGGTAGAGTGACCTGTGAAAGACCTTCCACTTCCCTGCCCTCTGACATTTCCTATCAGTGGACAGAACAAATGGTTATTACGTACTGGTTAAAGTCTCTATAACAGTAATAAGAGGGTAAAGAGACGGGGCTTAAAGAGAATCGGGCCGTGATGGGCTGCTGTGCTTTTGCCCTTGGACACACTGAAATTGATGTTGCTTTAAAATTACTGTAATACCATATGGAGCTTTAAATTACAGTGATTTGTTGCCTTGGATAAAAGCACCTGTGCAGTGACATAAACATAAGGAAGAAAAGGTAGCAACGAACTGGGTCTCTACATAGTGCTTCACTGAACCTCCTTGCTATCAAGGCATCTCAGACTGCTGAAGCACATGATTGCTAAATTTTTGCATTTAGCATGTTTTCCAGCAACACCCTTAAAAGCTAAGATGTCAAAGGAGTTTCTTGAAGCACTGACATAGCGGAACCACTTTTGTTTCCATAAAGAACCTTTCAAAGGATGGTTCTTCAAAAAATACTCCAGAATTTTTTATCTCTGTCTGCTGCATTTGTAGGATGTAATTGATAACCACAGATAATAATGTTAGGTTGTAAATGCACACAATTAACCATAAACTACAGGATGCAGCAGACAGAGATTTTCTGTTGACGTTTTCAAAGTATTGTCTGTGGAGCCCTGCTGATGACATCCTGTATAAATAAAGATAATGCATGACCGTGACTTGGTAAGGTGTGGGAACCAGATAATTAAGTCATGGCCATGACTGAGTACGGTGTGGGAATGAGATCCTAATGCATGGCCAAAACTTAGTAAGGCATGGGAATTAGATATTTAAGCCTTGACCACAGCTTAATAAGGCTTGATCTCGTTCCCGTGCCTTACTAAGTCGTGGCTGTGACTTAATTATCTTGTTCCCACTCCTTACTAAGTAGTGACCACACTTAGGATCTCGTTCCCACGCGTCAATGTTGACATTTTCAAAGAGATGTCTATGGAGCCCTGTTGGTGACATCTTGTATAAATAAAAATAATGCATGACCACGACTTAGTATTGTGTGGGAACAAGGTAATTAAGTCATGGCCACAACTTAGTAAGGCATGGGAATTAGATATATAAGCCTTGGCCACAGCTTACTAAGGCATGATCTTGTTCCCACACCTTACTAAGTCATGGCCATGACTTAATTTTCTTGTTCTCACGCCTTACTAAGTAATGGCCACACATTAGGATCTTGTTCCCATGCGTCAATTTTCTGTTTACATTTTTAAAGAGATGTCTATGGAGCCCTGCTGGTGACATCCTGTATAAATAAAAATAACATATGACCATGACTTAGTAAGGTGTGGGAACGAGATCCTAATGCATGGTCACAACTTAGTAAGGCGTGAGAATGAGATATTTAAGCCTTGACCTTGAAGTCATGGCTGTGACTTAATTATCTTGTTCCCACTCCTTACTAAGTAGTGGCCACGTGTTAATACGGCGTGGCTACGTGTTGTTTTATTTATACAGGATGTCACCAGATGCCCAACCTAGAGTGAGTTAATGACTTAACCTGAAGACAGCAGCTGTTCACTTATAGTGTTGTACCTGTGTGAACAGAAAGCGAAAGGAAAAAATTGTTGATGGTTCAAAAAAAAGAGAATAAAGCCAGGAGGACTTCCTTAAATTAAAGGATAAAGTAGTCACATGAAACATATTCAAGCCTGACTTAGCTCTCCACAGAAGCACAGCGTTACCCTCAACCACTGGAAATAAAAACCTGCTGAAGCAGCAGAACAGTGAGTAAATGGTAGCTTTCCCTTCCTGCATGTTCTGACAAACCAAACTACTCCCTGAGGACGCTGTGAGCTAACATTACCCTTACAGAAATCACTAAAGCTCATCATATTACATTACTACTGTGTCACTGAAATATTCTAAGCCACATCCGTTTCTGTTAATTAGAAGTATTTAGCAGCTAATTCAAACTATTGAACATTTGTCAGCTTTTCCTGTCACAGCATTACGTATATTAGCTGGTTAACTATGTAGGGGAGCGTGGGGAACGACTTAATACGGGGCACATTTTAACACAGACTTTTTATGTTGTTATACAAGGTCAAGCAGCATGTGCTTCTGGCCACATTACCACATTTCCTAGCCACAGTCTCCTGCAAAGTTTTTTTTTTTTTCAGTTACTGGGCTGTTTGTGTAAATCACAAAATACAACTTTATGTTACTTCAGTCACCACCTTGTTGTCTATAACCTAGCACTGTTTTGAAGCATGTGACAAGCTTACAGCAAGTGCTAGCTAGGCTTAAGTACAAGCTGTGTACTGTGGGGTTAGTTGTTACCCAGTGTTACCACTAAGCCACGTTTAGTGAACAGAGACAAATAAAGTAAATTTTGTCTTTCTGTTCCGTGTGTTTACACAGATTGTAAAATGAAAAGATGAAAACATCTGAAAACAGGAATGTTTTCTACTTTATTAGTATCTTTCAATTGTTTAGTTTGGTTTTAGATAAGTATATTATTGAAATTGACCTTAACAGTTGGTGAAGCTGTAGTTATTCAGAAACAATGTTCCAAATTTTACTGATGTGTGATGTTTTTATTTGCTGTTCTACACTGGACAGTAGTTCAGTAGGTGCTAGAAACAAGTTTAAGTGTTTGATTTTAGTGCTTGATTGTAGCAGTGATGTATATGTTGCTTTTATGTGATGCACAGCTTAAAATACACCTCACTTTGTTTATAGGAACCAGACGTCCAAAGGATTTAATACCTCCAAAAAAGAGGGTTCTTCAGTCTTAATCCTGAAGATTCAATATGTAACACAGCGTAGTGATTTCTCTGCCCAAAGCCTAACACTAAACTAGGCAATTAACTTGGTCATTTTTAACAGGGAAATTACCAAGCTGTGCTTGGGCTCGGCCTAAGACCTAAGACTGTTTATATATATATTAGGGGTGCAGGAAAAAATCAATTCTTAGATGCATCGCGATGCGGACGTGGACGATTCTGAATCGATTCACAAATGTCAAAAAATCGATTTTCTAAATATTTAATTTATAACGTAATGTTGATGGAACGCAAAAGGCGGAACTTGGAAGTGGGTAAGTGCAGCGCCCGGACAGTCTGTGGCGGCACATAACAAAAACACAAGTGGATGAGGGAGAAATCCGACCGGCACCCTCTGCATTAAAAGCCAGGTTAGGTCAGGAGTCACAACACAAATGTTAAGAAGAGCCATTTTGACCTTTCAACAAAAATCAAACCACCTTGGGAGCCACAACATTTAATCTCCAGTATGTCTCAGTGTGTGATGATGTCCTAGTATAGGCTAAACAATATAAACGAGAGTGCAGATTTACTCTGCTCTGCTTTAAGCTTTAGCTCAGTTATAGCCGCTTTCCTTCCATCTCCACCAGGAAACTTTTCCCCAGAAGTAGATCAGTTAAATGTCTCTCAACATTCGACTGTTTTACGAGGCTGAAGTCGCTTCTTATTCTCCAGCTTCTTGTTCGAATTGTGCCCGTTCCACCTTAAATTCTAACTGAGGCGCTGAATGTAAATTTAAGGTGGAACGGGAGAATTCGAAAGAGAAGCGACTTCAGCTTCGCCAATTTTTACTGTTTGACAGTCTCTCGTTGCAGATTTAACGTACCAGGAAACCAACTGCGCTGCTTATAAATGCGAATAACGCATCGTTGCTAGGTGACCTGCAGTCTGCACGCCGGTTCTCAGTCATTGCGAAACAGGGCTTTCGTGCTATGTTGCACACGTCCCGTCTCAAAGATACTTGACACAGCGACCCCCCCGTCTCTACAACGAGACCAAAACCGAAGTTATAAAATCACTAAAGAAAACGGGTAGAATAGCTGTAACATGTGCTGCGTGGTCATCCACTGCCACTGGATCTTATTTCACCGTTACTGCGCATTTTATTGCAGATGAGT